ACCCGGGCTCGCGTTTCCCGCTGGAGGGGGCTCGGGACCTGGATGTTGGCAGGAACAGCATCCAGGCTTACAGCATCTCTCCCGACAACGAGTACTTTAGTGTCTCTTTTGGCAGTCAGAGTGAGGACGACAAATATGTGGAACTGGTCTTGGAAATGCCTCTAGACAGAGAGGAGCAGGCGGAGGTGGGTTTCAGTCTCATCGCCGTGGACGGGGGCTCTCCGCCCAGGAGTGGGACCACCCAAATCCACATTGTCGTTCTAGATGTAAATGACAATGCTCCCATCTTCACGGAGGAGCTGTACCTTGCTCAGGTTTTGGAAAATGCACCGGAGGGCTCTGTGGTCATCAGCGTGGTGGCAACCGATCGGGACGTGGGAATCAACGGGGACATCACCTATCAGTTCAGCCAAGCAGTGGGCCAGAGCCACTTGGCATTCGCAATTGACCCCAGGAGCGGTGAAATTAAAGTCACAAAGCCTCTGGACTTTGAGGCAGCACTCAGGTTTTGGAAAATGCACCGGAGGGCTCTGTGGTCATCAGCGTGGTGGCAACCGATCGGGACGTGGGAATCAACGGGGACATCACCTATCAGTTCAGCCAAGCAGTGGGCCAGAGCCACTTGGCATTCGCAATTGACCCCAGGAGCGGTGAAATTAAAGTCACAAAGCCTCTGGACTTTGAGGCAGCACAGAATCACGAGCTCAGCGTGCGGGCCACAGATGGCGGGGGCCTCTCGTCAATCTGCAAGGTGTTGGTGGAGGTGGTGGATGTGAATGACAATGCACCAGAGCTGGTGGTCAATTCCTTCAGCAGCCCCCTCCCCGAGAACGCATTACCCGGGACAGTGGTCGCCCTCTTTACTGTCAGGGACCGAGATGCTGGCGCCAACGGGAAGATCACCTGTGCCCTTGAAGACCAGCTGTCGTTCTCCCTGCGGCCGGCCTATAAGAATTACTACGAGCTGGTGACCGTGAGCACTCTGGACAGGGAGGAGACAGCACGGTACATCCTCACTGTCACAGCAGCAGACGTGGGGTCACCTCCTCTCACGACCACCCAGACCTTCACGGTGGACATCTCCGATGTCAACGACAATGCACCTGTCTTCAACCAGACGTCGTACACCATGCATGTGCGTGAGAACAATGCCCCCACAGTGCTCGTCGGAGCCGTCAGTGCCGCGGATGCCGACGTGGGGCCCAATGCCAAGGTGACCTATTCCCTGGCACCAGCCCACCCCGCAGAGCAGCCTCCCTGCTCCTGCATCTCTGTGAACTCTGAGAACGGGCAGGTGTTTGTGCTGCGGCCTCTGGACTATGAGCAGGTGAAGCAGATGGAGGTCTTGGTGAGCGCCTCCGATGCGGGGTCTCCTCGCCTTAGTGCCAACGTCACCGTCCGCCTTGTCGTGGTGGATGAGAATGACAATGCGCCGCTGGTGCTGTACCCCTCGCAAGACAGCAGCCCACCATCCAGCGAGCTGGTGCCCATGTCGGCTGAGGCAGGGTACCTCATCACCAAAGTGGTGGCCGTGGATGCCGACTCGGGGCAGAACTCGTGGCTCTCATACCACCTGCTGAGGGCCACCGACCCCGGGCTCTTTGTGGTGGGTGCCCAGAGTGGGGAGGTGCGGCTGAGGAGGTCCGTGACGGAGAGAGACACCGTGAAGCAGAAGCTTGTTGTCCTGGTGCGAGACAATGGGCAGCCACCGCTGTCGGCCACCGCGGCGCTGAGCGCACTCCTGCTCAGTGACTTCTCAGACATGCGCCTACCGCACAGCAGCCTGGCCACAGAGGACAACAGCGGCTCCCTGACAACCTATTTAATCATTTCATTGGTCTGTGTCTCACTCCTCTTCCTCACGTCCACGGCAGCCTTCGTTGCTCGCAAGATGTGCAAGAGAAAGGAGCTGAAGGGTGGGCGTGTGGTTCACGGCGCTGGCAACTTGCAGAGCGGCCTGGCTGACGCTGCTACTGCAGGGACCCTGTCCCACGCCTATTGCTACGAGATCAACCTCACGACAGGCTCGGGCAACAGCGAGTTCAAGTTCCTGAAGCCCATCCTCCCCAGCCTGCCACCACAGCACTGTGGCACGAGTGGGAGCACTGACGGCGAACGAGATTTCCCCCGTGGCCCTATCACCACGGAGGACATGGCACCAAACAACGCCGGGATGCTCTCTGCAGAAGAGTTCAATAGTCTTTCCTTTAACTAGCATGGAGTCAGCGCAGCCAGAGGCCTCATGCCTCCTGATCGGAAGGGAGCTGGGCTACAACACGTGGCAATGGTTCCTCCAGACGAAATCTGCATTTGCAATTGGTGTCACCGGTTTCCCTCCAGTTCTAGGTCAGAAGAAAGGTTGTCTCCCCCTCCAAACAAACAAACAAACAGACAAACAAACAAACAAACAAACAAACAAACAAACAAACAAACAAACAAACAAACAAACAAACAAACAAA